GTGAACATGTTGGTTCAATGCTCAGAGCACGGCTGAAGAGCTCTAGCATTAGAAAAAGGCCCTGTATTTGTTCTGCGCAGCACAAGCAAATTTAGTAACATGCTTGCGCTGTGTTTGCTTTTAAATTGTCTCTGGTGTCTCCACAAGTGGGATACCAGAGGACAAAAGGGCCAGGAAAGCATATGGTGCATGTGTTTGGAGCCTGCCTGTGGGATTGCGTGTGTGTAGAGTGTAGTGTGTTATTGTGTAAATAGGTCAATTTCATTCGTGTTTGTGGTGTAATATGTGTGGCTAGGGGCTGTAGAGAGTGTGTGTATAGGGGGCATAGTGTTATAGGGGATGTAGCGAGTGTGTGCATACGGGCTGTAGTGTGTGTGTATAGGTGATGTAGTGTGTGTAGGGGTTGTAGAGAAGGTGTGTTTAGACAATATTGTATGTGTTTGCTTACAAGGAATGTAGTGTGTGTAGGTGGTGCAGTGTGTGTGTGTGTGTGTGTGTGTGTGTGTAAAGGACCCAGAGTGTGTATAGGAGATTGTGTGTGTGTGTGTGTCTGGAGGATTAAGAGTGTATATAGGGTAAGGGATCTAGCCTGTATCTGGAGCGTAATGTGTGTAGTGGTGCAGTGTGAGGGGTGCTGTAGTGTGTGTGTGTGTGTGTGTGTGTGTGAATATATATATATATATATTTGGACTATTGTATGTGTGAGGGGCGCAGTGTGTGTGTGTGTAAGACGGGTGCTGTGTGTGAGGGTGTTTTTATCTGCCGTCACATTCTAGGTTTCTAATTTTCTTTGTTAACCCCTTAACGACGGGTGACGGACGAGGTCCGTCACAGAAGGGAAACCCTTAATGATGAGTGACGGACCTCGTCCGTCACGTGGTAAAATTAACCCCGGATCGCCGCTATCGCAGCGATCGCGGGGTTAATGGTGCTCCGGTATGCCTCTGCATTAGAGGCATACCGGGAGCACCCGGTCAGGCTGCCCAGCACATGTGCTCTGTATACTCACCTACCGGCTCCCTGCACTTCCGGGTTCTGTGTGAAGTGCAGGGAGCCGGATCAGTGATGATCCTGCCCCCTGCTGTTAAAAAAATAAAGTTAATTTAAAGTCCCCCCCCTTTACCCATTTTAATAAAAAATTAACCCCTTCCCTGCCAATTGATCACTGACTACAGTGATCAGTTGGCAGGGATTACATTTTACTATGATCTGATTTTTTTTTTAACCCCTGAGGGTTAATTCTTTTTTTATTTAACCCTCAAGGGTTAAATTTATTTAATTAATTAAAATATTTTAAAATTATATATTTAGCTAGCTGGGGTGGGTGGAAGTTAGTGGGGAATTGGGGGATTTGGCGTTAGGCTAAATAGGGGTTAACGTTAAAAAAAGTTTTAAAATAAACTTTAAAAAGGTAAAAATTAAGCTTAAAAAATGTTTTAATAATGTTTAAGTAAAAAATAAAAAAAACTTTACCTAGTCCAAATAAAAATTAACCCCTTCCCTGCCAGTCGATCACTGCCTACAGCAATCAAATAGAGATCACAGTATTATACTGTGATCTAATTTTTTTTTAACCCATGAGGATTAACTTTTTATTTCTTTTTTAACCCTCAAGGGTTCAATTTATTTAATTAATTAATTTAAATATTTTATAACTATATATTTTGCTAGCTGGGGTGGGTGGGAGTTATGGGAATTTACTGTTAGTGCTGCGTACTGCTAGTTAGGGGTTAACGGTAAAAAAAAAAAAGCTTAGAAAAATGTTAAATCTGTAAAAAAGTTAAGAAAGTTTAGGAAAGTTTAAAAAAAATTAATAAGCAAAACAATAGTTTAAAACTAGTTTTTAAAAGTAAAAAAGTTATAAAAAGTAAAAAAATACATTTTAAAAACGCTCATTACCACTACACCTGGAACAAACTAGAGAAAAAATTATCCCACGCCAAGGTTCAAAATATGCCTTTTGAATTACCCCAGGGTGTATTCTTTAATAAATAGTATGTGTTTGTGGGGAAGTTTCAATAACCAACCGTCTAAACTACTCCAAATTGGAACATGGACACAGCGTAAAACTTCAAAGTTAGAAAAAAACTGAATGGCTGCGTCTCAAATGCGCCCCTTCAACATCCACATATACCTGGTAAAGGTACATACAGGGGTATTGCTGTACTCAGCCGGCATAGCTGAGCATCATATGAAGTATTATACAGTCGTAGCACACATAAGGTTTGCAAAATATACTGTGCAAACTCACTTTGTATGTCAAAAAGGCAGAAAAATCGCTTATTACCACTACATCTGGTACAAGCTAGCGGAAAAATGATCAAACGCTAAGGTTCAAAATATACCTTTTGAAACACCCTGGGGTGTCTACTTTAAGAAATGGTAGGCCTTTGTGGAGTAGTTTGAATTTAAAACCTGCAAAGATGCTTGGAAATTGCACATAGGCCCAGCGTCAATATTCAAAGTTTGGTAAAAACGGATATGGCTTGGTCTCCTATATGGCACTGTAGCTTCACGAAATAGTGCCAAAGACATTCATTGGGGGTGTCTTTTTACTCAGAAGACTTAGCTGAGCATAATTTGGGAGGTTTGAACTTAGTGGCACATATGAAATATACAAAACGCCCAGCAAAAATGCAATCCGTATGTAAAAAATGCACAAAATATTTTTTTACCACATACTTTGGCATATATTGTTGAAAAATTGGGGGTATGTTAAGGCACAATATGCACTTTATAAGATACCCTGGAGTGTCTCCTTTTACAAATGGTAGGCCTTTGTGGGGGTTTTTTGAACAGTCAAACTGTTATAATACCCCAAATGGAAGCTAAGGCTCATTAAATCCATCTCTCAAAATTCTACTGTGAAAACTGTAAAGGACAGGTCTCCTATATGTGACTGTAGCTTCACGAAATAGTGCCAAAGACATTCATATGGGGTGTCATTTTACTCAGAAGACTTAGCTGAGCATAATTTGGGGGGTTTGAACTTAGTGGCACATATGAAATATACAAAAGGCCCAGCAAAAATGCAATCCGTATGTAAAAAATGCACAAAATTATTTTTTACCACATACTTTGGCATATATTGGTGAAAAAATGGGGGCATGTTAAGGCACAATATGCACCTTATAAGATACCCTGGAGTGTCTACTTTTACAAATGGTAGGCCTTTGTGGGGTTTTTTTGAACAGTCAAACTGTTATAATACCCCAAATGGAAGCTAAGGCTCATTAAATCCATCTCTCAAAATTCTACTGTGAATACTGTAAAGGACAGGTCTCCTATATGGCACTGTAGCTTCACGAAATAGTGCCAAAGACATTCATATGGGGTGTCATTTTACTCAGAAGACTTAGCTGAGCATAATTTGGGGGGTTTGAACTTAGTGGCACATATGAAATATACAAAACGCCCAGCAAAAATGCAATCCGTATGTAAAAAATGCACAAAATTATTTTTTACCACATACTTTGGCATATATTGGTGAAAAAATGGGGGCATGTTAAGGCACAATATGCACCTTATGAGATACCCTGGAGTGTCTACTTTTACAAATGGTAGGCCTTTGTGGGGTTTTTTTGAACAGTCAAACTGTTATAATACCCCAAATGGAAGCTAAGGCTCATTAAATCCATCTCTCAAAATTCTACTGTGAATACTGAAAAGGACAGGTATCCTGTGTGGCACTGTAACTTCACGAAATAGTGCCAAAGACATACAATGGGGGTGTCATTTTACTCAGCAGATGTAACTGAACACAAAATAAAACTTTGTACAGGAATAGCACACACCAACTTTACAAAATATACACGAGAATTTCTTTGTTATAAGTTTGTGTGCCAAAAACCAAAAAAACACAATTTTACTCCAATATTTAGCAGAGGTTGGCGGTGAAATGGCTTCGTAGAAAGTGTCAAAACAACATTAGGTAAATAGCCCGTGATGTCTACTTTATATAAATATATACTTTTGTGTGGCAATTTTGTTTTCTTTTATGGCTATTAAGCTTACAAGACAAACATACCAAATTCTAAAATCGCTCCACATTAAAAGTCTATTTTACTCCTTGTGCTTTGTGACCTGTAACTTCCAAAAAAAACTTAAAATCCCAGACACATTGTATATTCTGTAAATCAGAACAACTAAATTAATTTATTTTTAATTACTTTTCTTAACCTGCACTAATTATGCACACATTATTATTGCAAAAACTGTAAAAAAAAAACACAAAATTTTCATTCTTTTAAAAATTTTCTGTATTTTTTTATAATAAATAAGCATTTATATATATATGTGTGTAACATCAAATTAAAGCCCTTTCTGTCCTTTAAAAAACGATGTATAATATGTGTTGGTGCAACAAATTAGTAAAATGCAAATTGCAGTTGAATGCAAACAGCAAAAAATGAAAAAAATGCCGTTGTCATTAAGTGAAAGACAAGCTTTTGAAGCTCTGTCCTTAAGGGGTTAACTCACAAAGGGTTATTTTATAGAATGTGTGTGTGCTGTATATGTGTGGGAGTGTGCTGTGTGTGAGTGAGGGTGCTGTGCGTCTGAAGGTGCAACTCACAAGGTGATCATTTCAGTGGGTTATGCTGTTCCTAAGAGGTTCATTTAAAAAAAAAAAAAAAATCTAATTTAAATCCTTAACACAGTAGTGTATACATTAAACCAGGGAGTGACAGTGAAATTAATTAATAATTATTATTTTTTTATTCTTTATTTTTGCTGTGCATATATGTAACACTCTCTCTTGTAATGCCCCAACAGCTATTACAAGAATTGTAAAATACACATTTTAACAAGGTCGAGGTACAAGCGATTATTGCACACATTTTTAGAATAATGAGTTTTCAGGCTAGTCAAATCTGTCTGAGTTAGACATAAACAAGTTAGATATTCAAGTGCTATCCAGACATATAGAAGGGTGAGAAACTAGGTTATTCGACATGGTATAAGAGTACAAGACCAGAGTATGTTTACAAGTGACTGACAGCATGTCTAATGAAGAAATTAATTATTTTAAAGCAAACATTTCCAAAAAGTCTCCAACTATTTTGGTAAAGTTGGCAAATATGGCTAGAAGTCATGATTTTGTGAAAGCATCTCATCCTGTCACTTTTGGTATCTTTCATATCACAAGCATTGTTGTGTTTTTCTACTTATAATCCGTCTTGCCCTAAAATGTATTATCATTTTTCTTAAGGTCTTCCTGATGAACAACCCTATGGTGGAGGTTATGCAGCAATACCTCCTGTCCAAAATCAACCTGGTGTACCTCCTGCTATTCCCAACTGTCCAGCGGGTTTGGAGTACCTGACCCAGGTATCTTGGTTTCCCAAATTAAAGCTTAACATTTTGAGACCTAAGCGAGGACTAACCAAAGGGCAAGCTTTTGAGATTTCTCTGAGCTTTTATCCATTCACAAAATTCTAATTTTCTTTGTTTTTGTTGCAATGGATTTTCTTAGGCCCTAAGTTAAAAGAGTATTCCATGAGTAGAACCGGTGCTTACTGTACTTAGAAGGATATCAGTTACACCACGCTGATGAGGCTATTTTCCAGGGTTGCTGCATCTCTAATGCAGAGGGAACTTTCCAGTATTTTGGGTCTGGACTTCCTTTATAGACAGGATCAGTCTGATATGCAAATTGAATAGTTTCGTTCTGAAAAGTGAAAACATAGATCATAGTTGCCAACATTTGAAAAAAAATTCCAGGGACACTTTGTAGCACAGCTATCAATTACTACCTTGAAAATGTACCACATCCAGTGCCGCAAAGCTCCGCCCACTTTGTCCAACCCACATAATTAATCTCCGCCTACTTATCATAGTGCAGATTACAGGGTCTACCCAATAAAGAGAAAATTACAGGGACCTAAAGTTTGAAATTCCTATCTTAATTCCATGCAATTCTCTCTTTACTGATACAGTATACAGGTATACAGTAAGAACACAAGCTCTCTAATACACAAGCTCAAAGACAGACAAGTTCACTGACACAAAACATAAACTCATTGATACTGTCAGGGTCCCGCGGGCGGCTGCGAGGGGAGGCTGCAGTCCGCTCGCGGCACTCACCCTCCAGCGGTCCGCGGTCCCCTTCCAGACGTGCGCTCGGCGGGCGGCATCCTCTCTCCCACGGGTGCCGTCCGCCTCTTCCTCTGTGTCCCCCAGCGGCAGCATGCATGACGCTGCACGCTGGGAGACCGCCCATTTTAACAAACGCTGGGGTGACTGACCCGGCGTTAAAGGCACAGTGCCTCAATCACAGTGGGAGGTTTAGATATCTCCCACGTGTGATTGTTAATTCTGATTTTAAATTATCCAATCAGAATTAACCTTTGGATTTATATACTTACCTTTCCTGTTCCTCTTCGCCCTGTTGTGGTCTTTACCTGCTAGTATTGATACTGAACTTGTGTTTCTGGTTACGTACTCTCTGGCTTGTTTATCCGACTTTGTGACTTTCTCCTACCCTTTGACCTCGGCTTGTCTATCGTTATTCTGTCTTCTGGTTCCCCTTTACTCGGCTTGTTTCCTGACTATTCTTTGTGTGCTTAGCCCGGCCACTCTAAGGTCCGGTACTTTGTGTGTGTGTGTTGGCGTGTTTGGTTCCCCAAATCGTGACATTACAACAGGGCCATAATGGAACCTGCTGACATACCACAGCTCCTAGTAAATCAGGAGGCTAGAATGGATGGTTTAGACCACCGTATGGATCAGTTTGCCCAAGCTTTACAAACCATACTGGCTCGTACTGCACACTTGCAACCTGCCGTCCAGGAGGCTGCTGCTGCGGTGCTCGAACCCATTCCCACTCCGGTACCCGTTCCTCCTCATGTTGTTCATATGACACCGCCACAGCGCTACAGCGGTGACCCAGCATTGTGTCGTGGTTTCCTCAACCAAATTGACATCCATTTGGTGATGAATCCACGTTCCTATCCCACTGACAGATCCAAAATTGCCTTTTTGATAAACCACCTGTCCGGGAAAGCTTTAGCATGGGCTAACCCCATGTGGGAAAATACATCTCCTATGTCCTTTGTAGATTTCTTGACAGCTTTCAAACGTACGTTTGATCAACCCGGTAGGGTTGCCTCTGCTGGCAAAGCTCTGCTTAGGGTACGACAGGGTAACAGATCTGTAGCGGATTATACTATCGAGTTCCGCACGCTAGCAGCTGAAGTGGTTTGGAATAATGACGCCCTCGTAACAGCCTTTCAGGAGGGTTTGGCCGCCTACATACTGGATGAAATAGCATCCAGGGAATTGCCTGTTCTTCTGGATGATGTCATAGATTATATCATTCTTATTGATAACCGTATTAGAGAGAGGTGTAGTCAAAGACGGATGGATACACGGGCATTACCTGCTCCCCCGTCTACTGCTTTACTAGCACTACCTGCTCCTAGTCAACCATCCCCCGAACCCATGCAATTGGGTGCTACGGGGCTAACTGAGGCTGAAAGAGCATATCGTAGAAGGGAGGGGTTATGCCTTTATTGTGGAAAGAGGGGGCACCACTGTAATGCCTGCCCTAAGTTACAGGGAAACTACAGCACCTAAGGCCTAGAGAGGGGTCGGCCTCGGGTGTTATGACTTTGTCCCCTCATGTGTCCATCTCCAGACCGTTTATTACGGTTTCTCTTTTGGTCAATAAAACCACCCATCAACCAAAGCCTTGATCGATTCAGGTGCGGCAGACAACCTTATGGATGAGAACTTTGCTAAAACCGCAGCCTTGACTTTGATCCAAAAGGCCACACCCTTGGTCGTTGAGGCCATAGATGGTAGACCACTTGAGAAACCTCTGGTGACCCATGAGACCCAAGAAATAGTGATGTCTGTGGGTGTTTTGCATAAGGAAAGGTTAACCTTCCAAATAATTGACTCCCCTACTGCTTCCATCGTTCTGGGTTTTCCCTGGTTAGTGAAACACAACCCTGTTCTCGATTGGGGTTGCTTAGATATACTCTCCTGGGGGGAATCTTGTCAACGAGATTGTATGGCTCATGTACGTCCTGTTTGTTTACTCAACGTGCCCACGGCTAAACCACTCTCTGTTTCTGTCCCTTCTGTATATGCAGACCTTGCATTGGTTTTTGAAAAAAGGGAGGCAGATAAGCTACCTCCGCATCGTGACTATGACTGTGCCATAAACCTATTACCGGGCACTATGCCCCCTAGGGGTAAGGTCTACCCTCTTTCTGAGAAAGAAAACCAGGTCATGGAAGAGTACATACGGGAATCCTTAAGGAAAGGTTTTATTAGAAGGTCCTCCTCTCCTGCTGGTGCTGGTTTCTTTTTTGTGGCAAAGAAGGAGGGCGATTTGAGGCCATGTATAGACTATAGGGCTCTGAACAATATAACGATTAAAAACGCCTACCCTATCCCCCTCATCACTGAGTTGTTTGATCGCGTTAAAGGTTCTAAGTACTTTACTAAATTAGACCTCAGGGGGGCTTATAACCTTATCCGTATAAAGGAGAATGATGAGTGGAAGACAGCGTTCAATACGCGTAGTGGGCATTATGAATACCTGGTCATGCCTTTTGGACTGTGTAATGCTCCTGCTGTGTTTCAGGATCTCATAAATGATGTCCTTAGGGATCTATTGCATGTCTGTGCCGTGGTGTACCTTGACGACATACTTGTATATTCTCCTGATTTGAAGTCACATCATAATCATGTTAGGATGGTGCTTAAAAAGTTATTACAGAACGGACTTTATTTTAAGTTAGAAAAATGTCTGTTCGATCAGACCTCTGTGCAATTCCTGGGATATATAATTACTGAACAGGGTTTTAGTGTGGATCCTGCTAAATTGGAAGCTATACTGTCCTGGCCACTTCCCCAAGGACTTAAGGCTATCCAGCGTTTTATAGGTTTTGCTAACTATTATAGAAAATTTATAAAAAACTTCTCACCACTTCTCCCCTATCACAAAGCTGACTAAAAAAAGGTCTACACCCTAGGGTTTGGACTCCTGAAGCCCTTAAAGCCTTCGAAACTCTCAAGAAAGCATTTGCCTCTGCTCCAGTACTACACCACCCTAATCCTTCTCTTCCCTTTGTTATGGAAGTAGACGCTTCTGAATCGGGGGTGGGAGCAGTACTGTCACCCCTCCATCCCTGTTGTTTCTTTTCTAAAAGGTTGTCTGATCCAGAAAAGAATTACGATGTTGGGAACAGAGAACTATTAGCTATTGTGTTAGCTTTTAAGGAATGGAGGTACTTATTAGAGGGTTCTAGACACAAAATTATGGTTATAACAGATCATAAGAACCTCTCCTATATAGCCGATGCTAGAAGGTTGTCCGCCCGACAGGCTAGATGGTCTCTATTCCTTTCGCGATTCCAATACATTATTACCTATAGACCTGGTTGCCGTAATGCCAAAGCTGACGCTATCTCTCGACAGTATGAACCTTTAGAATTTGTTAACCCAACTCCTGAACCTATTGTACCAGCTTCTCAGATCATAGCTGCTACCCGTTTGGTTGTTTCGTCTCCCTTCCTTGAGAATATTAAGACATACCAAACCCAAGCGCCCCAGGAGACGCCTGTTGGTAAACTATACGTGAAAGTAAATGACAGAAAAAAGTTGTTAACATTATTTCACAACGCCAAAACTGCTGGTCATCCGGGGGTTACCAAGACTTATAAGAGCCTCCTTCAACAGTTCTGGTGGCCTTCACTCAAGCGAGATGGATTTTGTTCAGGCTTGTCGGGTCTGTACGCAGTGTAAGTCTCCTAATATGAGACCCCAAGGCCTACTGATGCCTCTATCTGTACCCAAGAAACCATGGACCCACTTGTCCATGGATTTTATTGTAGACCTTCCTCCTTCTGATGGTCAGACGGTGATATTAACTGTGACGGATAGGTTCTCTAAAATGGCCCACTTTATTCCGCTTAAGAAACTACCCTCTGCGATTCAGCTTGCCCAGGTGTTTGCCAAGGAAGTGTTCCGCTTGCATGGGGTACCTCAGGATATCGTTTCTGACAGGGGCCCGCAATTTGTCTCTCGGTTTTGGAGGGGCTTTTGTGCTGAGATGGGGGTCTCCTTGTCGTTCACTTCCTCCTATCACCCGCAATCTAATGGTGCAGCCGAACGTGCTAATCAGTCTGTGGAATTGTATTTGCGCTGCTTCACTAATGCGCACCAGGACGACTGGTCTCGCCTTCTTCCGTGGGCTGAATTTGCCAGGAATGCGGTGTCTCATTCGTCTACTGGCTTAAGTCCTTTTGAGGTTGCTTATGGGTTTCGGCCTTCTGTCCTTCCCGGTGCGTTCTCTGACAAGGGAATGCCCGCCTTGGACCAGCACCTCGCCTCTTTACGGAAGACATGGGATCAGGTCCATATTGCGCTGTCTCGTTCAGCAGCTGCTCAGAAGAAGTTCGCTGATCGCCATAGGGGTGCAACCCCCTTCTTATGCTCCGGGTGATAGGGTGTGGTTGTCCTCCAAGAACCTCCGTCTCAGGGATCCCTCGATGAAGTTTGCTTCCAGGTTTCTTGGTCCCTACAAAGTGTTACGTAGGATTAACCCCGTTTCCTACTCCCTGGACTTGCCTCCTTCCATGCGTATTCTGCACACGTTTCACGTTTCGCTTTTGAAGCCCTTGCTGTGTAACCGGTTCTCTCGTCCCCTCGGACGGCCCGTTTCCCCTCGTACTGTCTCTAGTGACGTGTTCGAAGTGGCTGCCCTTCTCGACTCTCGTGTTTCTAGGGGTCGGCTACAATACCTGATGGATTGGAAGGGTTACGGCCCTGAGGAGCGGTCTTGGGTTTCGAGCTCTGATTTGCACGCCCCCTCTTTAGTCCTTTCCTTTCATGCCCGGTTTCCTTTGAAGCCTTCTGACGCTGCACGCTGGGAGACCGCCCATTTTAACAAACGCCGGGGTCAGTCACCTGACCCGGCGTTAAAGGCACAGTGCCTCAATCACAGTGGGAGGTTTAGATATCTCCCACGTGTGATTGTTAATTCTGTGTGTTGGCGTGTTTGGTTCCCCGAATCGTGACAGATACACACAAGCTTACTACAGACAAACTCACTAGTATACACACACAAGGCTCACTACAGACAAGCTCAGTGACACACACACGTTTACTACAGACAAGCTCACTGACACACACAAGCTGACTAAATAGAGGCTCACTGACACACACAAGCTCACTAAATACAAGTTTACAGACACACATATGCCTACTACAGACAAGCTTACTGACAGACACAAGCTCACTACATACTGAATACAGTTACAGACTGCTGAACACATTCACACAGCGACTGCTGTATACACACACAGACTGCTGAGCACACACACACACACTGTTTAGTACACACAGACAAACTGTTGAGTACACACATACAGACTACTGAGTACATACAAACAGTACATTGACTACACACACAAAAACACAGAGAGAGACTGCTGAATACAGAGAGAGATAGCTGAGTACATACACACAGTACACTGAATCCACACACTAAAAACACACAGACAGACTGCTGAATACACACAGATTGCTGAATACACACAGAGAGACTGCTAAATACACACATACAGACTGCTGAGTACTTACACACAGTACACTGAATACACACACAAAAACACACACCGAGACTACTAAATACACACACACAGAATGCTGAATACACACACAGACTGCTGAATGCACACAGGCTGCTGAATACACACACACAGATTGCTGAATATACCCAGACAGACTGCTGAGTACACACATATAGTCTGCTGAGTACTTACACACAGTACACTGAATACACACGCAAAAACACACACAGAGACTACTAAATACACACACAGAATGCTGAATACATACACAGGCTGCTAAATGCACACAGGCTGCTGAATATACACACACACAGACTGCTGAATACACACACACACAGCCTGCTGAATATATACAGACTGCTGAATACACTCAAACTGCTGAATGCAGAGAGACTGCTGAACACACCCAGGCTGCTCTATACACACATACAGACTGCTGAATTTACCCAGACTGCAGTGAGGAGTACAGTGTATGTGTGTGAGGGGTGCAGTGTGTGAAGGGTGCTGTGTGTGTGATGGGTCCTGTGTGTATGTGTAATGGGTGCAGTGTGTGAAGGGTGCTGTATGTGTGAGAGGGGTGCAGTGTGTAACGGGTGCTGTGTGAGCGGTGCAGTGTGTGTGCATGAGGGGTGCTGTGTGTGGGCGTGAGGGGATGCTGAGTGTGTGTCAGAGGTCCTCTGTGTGACGGGTGCTCTGTGTCATTGGTGCTGTGTGTTAAGGGTGGGCTGCCTTGGTGGTCCAGTGGTTGTGGTGAACTCCTCTGGCTGCAGACTGTCTTCACACATCCTGCATGCAGCATGCTGTGTCAGAGCATTGTCATGGTAACACGTGGCAAGGCTCTGCACAGCATGCTCGCGGGAGGAGTGCCCTGCCTCCCAGGTCCTCCAGCCCTCCCTGTCACTATGAAGGGCCTTTGGGATATTTGATCTTCTCACTGGCTCAAGAGGGCCCACAGCAAGAAAGCAGGTCTCCTCTGCCGGCCTGGGCACTGACACACACACACACACAAGCTCACTACAGACAAGCTCACACACACACAAGCTTTCTCACTAGCAGACACACACACACAAGCTTTCTGACTAGCAGTCACACAAGTTTTCTCACTAGCAGACACACACACACAAGCTTTCTCACTAGCAGACACACACACAAGCTTTCTCACTAGCAGACACACACACAAGATTTCTCACTAACAGACACACACACACACGCACAAGCTTTCTCACTAGCAGATACACACACACACACACAAAGCTGAGTATTTCAAGTCTACCTGGCACTGAAGGCTGTTGCTGGGAGATCAGGTATCCATCTTGGTCCTCCTCCTTCTGCAGCAAGGTCTGCTGCTTCGCAGGGACGGAGCTTTCGTGCGGGAGGTACAATATGGGGGCGGATCTTGCGTTGTGGGGACCGAGCCTGCATCCGCAAGGCAGAGCAGGAGCAGCTGCTGGGAAATCGGAAGGGAGGCTGTCAGTGCTCCCTCCAGCCCCAGCAACCTCAATTCAGCCACTCCAGCCCCCAGCAACTCTCTACAGCCCCCAGCATGTTTCTACAGCCCCAGCAGCTCTCTCCTTAATTCCCTCGGACTGTAACAGGCTGTTACAGTCAGAGGGAACATAATAAAAGCACATGGCCAGCAAGTTGCTGGGACTGTCCCGGGAGGGTGATTTACCCGGGACAGAATCCAACTTGCCGGGACTGTCCTGGCAAAAACGGGACAGTTGGCAACTATACTTTTTTGAGACCTGCGCTGTTTTTCCCATTCTCAAAGTTCTCATATTGTTTGTTTTTGTTGCAATAAAACTCAAGGCTCCCCAAAGTGTACGTTATTGTCAGGAAGAAATTGTAGCATCTGATCACAGGTGTCTTCAAGATTTCGTGTTATAAATGCACTATAAAGCTTTTTGTGTAATAAATTGTTTATATTGTAAACCTATCTATCTCTAAAAATAATGATGTCGTTAAGTAAACCTATAGCTCAAGCTTATTCTGTAATGTATTTCATTTTACACCAATTTGAAGTTAGTAAAATTATATTTTCTATATCTACATTTATAGTAACAATATTTACATAGTAACAGATTTGGAAAAATACTCAAATGCATCAAGCTCAATCTTTAGCACAGTACTTGCATTTATAAAAGTGGGATTGAAAAAAGATATTTTATATTTTACTCCTCTTCTCTGGTTTCTCCTCCCCTCCACTTGATTCTGTTAGGAAATTATACAGGAGTGATCCTTACCAACCGACACTTGGCCACACGGAGAACCTTTAACCCCTTAAGGACACATGACGGAAATATTTCGTCATGATTCCATTTTCATTTCTGAAAGTTCCGAAAGTTTTTAGAAAATTGGGCAGACTAGATGGGCCGAATGGTTCTTATCTGCCGTCACATTCTATGTTTCTATGTTTCTATGTGTCCTTAAGGGGTTAAAGGAATGCATTATAACAACTACAGTGTGGCATACTGGGTCCTCTGAGAGTAAATATCTGCCTTTCAGAGAGTGGGAACTCTGCCTGAACTTAGCTTAGCTTGTGCTTAGCTCATTGGCTAAAAGTAATTAACTGACGAGATGACTAAAGCACTGAAACTGCTGGGAAGCGCTTACAGCTCTGCAAAGTGGAAAAGAAAAGGCAGGGAGCAGCACCTTGTGCTCCCCCTCCCCTCCCCCCACCCCACAATCAAACAATCCTTAAACAGTTTGACTACTTATATCAGGGGGCGCCAGGGCTCTCCTGACAGTATAAACACTGTAGCACACTGTCAGGGCTGCCACCAGAAATTTTGGGGCCCCTGACAAAGCACAAGGTCTGCCCCCAGGCCTGCCCACGAGTCCGCCCACATGACTCCTACCTAGTCTGCTGTCAGTGATGCACAACTGAATGTGGTGTGTGTAGTGGAAGTGAATTAGAATGTGTGTAATGGATGTAGTGTTTGTGTGTATTAGATACTGTTTGTGCAATGAATGCAGAGTGTGTGTTTGTGTAGCGTATGCAGTGTGTATAGTGAACGCAGTGTGTGTTTGAGTAGTGGATGTAGTGTGTGTACAGTGATCAAGTGTGTGTTTGTGTAGTGGATGTAGTGTTTGTGTATACTAGATGCAATGTGTTTAGTGGATACAGTGTCTGTAGTGGATGTAGTGTGTGTATTAGACACAGTGTCTCTGTATAGTGAATGCAGAGTGTTTGAATGTGTGGCGGATGTAGTGTGTGTACTGTGAATACAGAATGCTTGTGTAGTGGATGCATAGGCGTGCACAGCCTGTTGCATTAGGGTGTGCACCCTAAAGCAAAAACAACCAACGCAGGGGGTAGTGGGGGTAGACGTTAGTGACAGGGTTTGGGGGGTAGACGGTTAGTGACAGTGGTTGGTGGGGTAGAGGGGTAGTGACAGGGGTTGGGGGGTAGTGACAGGGGTTAAGGGGGGTAGAGGGGAAGTGACAGGGATTCGGGGGGTTTATAAATACCTGCCCTGGTGGACCAGTGGGTGCCTTTTCTCTTCAGTCTGCAGCTCCGCCGGGAGTGAGCTGCAGACCACATGGTGAGTCTTGCGATCTCCAGGCAGAGCGTTGCCGTGGCTGGAGATCGCAAGACACCTCAGTGTGCAGCTCACTCCCGGCGGAGCTGTAGACTTAGGCTGGATCTCAGTGAGGGTAGACTGACAGGAGGGGCCTCGCACCCAGCGGCATTGTGGGCAAGCCGCCGGGCCCCCTCCTGTTAGTCTGCCTTAAGGCAGTGCAGCACGGAGGTGTGATTAGGGTGTGCCCAGGCACACCCGGCACACCTATGAGTGAAGGCTGTGTGTATAGTTAATGCAGAGTGTGTGTTAGTGTAGTGAATGCAGAGTGTGTGTTAGTGGAGTGGATGCAGAGTGTGTTAGTGTAATGAATGCAGTGTGTGTGTTAGTGGAGTGGATGTAGAGTGTATGTCAGTGTAGTGAATGCAGAGTGTGTGTTTTACTAGTGTATGCATGTTGTGTAAATGGAGCATCCCCCTCCCCACACCCGCCACTTTAAAAGTGATAAATGTTATTCCCCCCTCCCTGCTTCTTACCTGGTTCAGGAAGGGGGGAAGATTCCATCCCTGGTGGTTAGGTGGCATTGTGAGGCTCGCTGTATTTGCAGAGGGGTCCCAGCAGACTGCAGCAGTACATTACAGCTCTTCCCTCTCTCTAACTCCCACGAGCGTGGTGTGAGTGCCGCGCGGAGCGTTGCCATGGTAACCCGACCCTGCACACTGTAGTGGTTATGGTGCTTGGAGTGTTGGAGTATTCCAACTAGTCATTCAGGTTTCCTTTTTGGATTCTTAGTAGTTTGTTTGCCTATTCTTTTACAGAAGTGGCCTACTAATATGTTTACATCCCAAACAATCTAGTTGATTCCTTAAGATTGCAAAGAGAGCAAATCATTTGCTTCAATTACATTTAATCCCACTAGTAAAATGTTTTACTTTTTAGAAATCTGTCGAATTTTACTGATGTATGGTGTGAAAACAGTGCAAACTTTGTAATTTTATGAATACATTTTAATTTGTGTAGATGATGGAATTTCTAAATTTATAATCTTGGTCCTAAATACAAAGTTATATAACTTGTTTAATGTAAGTAGAAGGAATGTCAAACAACAATATACAGGTTGCGCCAAGAAAAATACTCCAAACATAATTGTGACAGACCCATCCGTATGAACTAAGATTGCTGGGTTCGTCTGTTTGCTTGTTTCACGAACTCACCCATTCGTATGCCTGGATTTAAGTGAATTTACTTTTTTACCGAACAAAACTGGCGAACGGACGGCAACCCAGAAGAGAAGTGTGCTGCTGGTTAACCTATTGATCCCAATTAGAACGTTGCGGTTAACCACAGACACTTCTCAATTAAAACTGAATACAGGGTGGTCGTCGTTCGTATGTCGACCACGAGGCGGCGGCCATTTTACACCATGCAAAAGACCAGCGGTGTTCGGTACTAAATTCATGGAACTAAAAACGGACACTTTTTCAACCCAACACCGCTGATGCCATCGACCTCCCTTCTCCAATCGACAGAAGTGTGCGAACACCGGCCGTTCGGGAGATTTAAAGGCACGAATGGACTTACCCCAGATAGCCTTCCCATGGAGTCAACCGCATACCGAAGAACTGTAATAGACTTTGACTCCATGGTGATTGAACTATGCGTATGGGATCTGAGCACTATTCGCCAATAATATGCCCTCAGATCCAGGCTATCTGGGGATGTGTTACACGAATGAGAAACGTTCGGCAGTTATAAAGTTATATATTTTTATGTGTTTTGTGATTTGTATTTAAAATGGCGATTTGCCTCTGCTCTGGGAGATAATTTAATTACTTCTCAATTATCTCCCAGGCAGAGGGTAGGAAACTGTGATGTTTGCTGGGAATATTGTGTGACTGTATGTCCTGAAATGCCATATGTCCATCTGCTATTCCAGTCTCCCATTTGGTCCCCTAGGGGAGTGTCCACCAAGTGGGAGACCTGCATAAATACAGGCGGGTAGCCCACAGTAAACTCAGTTCGCGTTTTACCCTCAATGCGGAGCTTGGTCTCATTATTGGGGGGATTTTATTACCGGCGACTAGAGACTGCTATTTGGAATTATCAGCCGCTTGGGAGATACCGGCGTTCAGCTGATATTGGCGGTTCGTGAGCTTGCGGCTCGTGGAGGGAAGGGACCGTACGGATACCGTTCGGGAGTTTGGAGTGTTCCCTTGCTGGCGGTTCGCATGGTTGTATTGGATACGCTTACAGCCAGCATTATTGTGAATGGGGAGCATTCACTAAACGGCGTTTTGCACATTTTATGCTGAAGGTACCGTAACAATAATAGTATATAATAATAAGAGCAATGAGAGCAATAAAAAAAACACACAAGATAAAAGAGTCCACAATAAAACTTAAGAGAATAAAAAATACCAAATGGTATGGCACAGTCTCACAGGTGGCAATAGATCTTCCAGTGCTGGTATGGGACTTTTATGGTAGCTTTGCTTAATAGCAGTATACGAAATAGAAGCAAAAACCAGAGGCAAACCAATAGTGCAATATGGTAATGTGTAGTAGGACAAACAACACTTAGATAAGATGTCAACATAGAAACATAGAATGTGACGGCAGATAAAAATCATTCGGCCCATCTAGTCTGCCCAATTTTTTAAAATACTTTCATAGAATGTAAGCTCGATTGAGCAGGGTCCTCTTCAACCTATTGTTCCTGTAAGTTTATTTGTAATTGTCCTATTTATAGTTAAATCCCCTTTCATAATATTGTAAAGTGCTACGGAATCTGTTGGCGCTATATAAATGGCAATAATAATAATAATAATTAGTCCCTGGCCTTATCTTATAGTTAGGATAGCCTTATGCGTATCCTACGCATGCTTAAACTCCTTTACTGTGTTAAGCTCTACCACTTCAGCTGGAAGCCTATTCAATACATCCACTCCCACTCAGTAAAGTAATACTTCCGGATATTATTTTTAAACCTTTCCCCCTCTAATTTAAGACTATGTCCTCTTGTTGTGGTAGTTTTTCTTCTTTTAAATATAGTCTCCTCCTTTACTGTGTTGATTCCCTTTATGTATTTAAATGTTTCTATCATATCCCCTGTCTCGTCTTTCCTCCAAGCTATACATGTTAAGATCCTTTAACCTTTCCTGGTAAGTTTTATCCCGCAATCCATGAACCAGTTTAGTAGCCCTTCTCTGAACCCTCTCTAAGGTATCAATATCCTTCTGAAGATACGGTCTCCAGTACTGTGTACAATACTCCAAGTGAGGTCTCACCAGTGTTCTGTACAATGGCATGAGCACTTCCCTCTTTCTACTGCTAATACCTCTCCCTATACAACCAAGCATTCTGCTAGCATTTCCTGCTGCTCTATTACATTGTCTGCCTACCTTTGAGTCATCAGAAATAATCACCCCTAAATACCTTTCCTCAGATGTTGAGAATAGGACTCTATCAAATATTCTGTACTCTGCCCTTGGGTTTTTTTATGTCCAAGATGCATTATCTTGCACTTATCCACATTAAATGTCAGTTGCCATAACTCTGACCATTTTTTTAGTTTATCTAAATCATTTGCTATTTGGCTTATCCCTCCTTGAACATCAACCCTGTTACATATATTAGTATCATCAGCAAAAATACATACCTTACCATCAAGACCTTCTGCAATATCACTAATAAAAACATTAAAGAGAATGGGTAAAAGGACAGATCCCTGAAGTACCCCATTGGTGACAAGCCCATGCTTCGAATATACTCCATTGACTACAACCCTCTGTTGCCTGTCACTCAGCCACTGCCTTACCCATTCAACAATATTGGAATCCAAACTTAAAGATTGCAGTTTATTGATAAGCCTTCTATGTGCAACAGTGTCAAAAGCCTTACTGAAATCTAGGTAAGCAATGTCTACTGCACCACCCTGATCTATTATTTTAGTTACCCAATCAAAAAAATCAATAAGATTAGTTTGGCATGATCTCCCTGAAGTAAACCCATGTTGTCTCTGATCTTGAAATCCATGTGTTTTTAGATGTTCAACAATCCTATCCTTTAACATGGTTTCCATTACTTTCCCCACTACTGAAGTAAGGCTTACTGGCCTATAGTTGCCTGACTCCTCCCTATTACCTTTCTTGTGAATGGGCACAACATTTGCTAACTTCCAATCTTCTGGGACTACTCCTGTTAACAATGATTGGTTAAATAAATCTGTTAATGGTTTTGCTAGTACACCACTAAGCTCTTTTAATAGCTTTGGGTGTATTCCATCAGGTCCCATTGGCTTATTTGTCTTTACTTTTGACAGTTGAACCTCTTCCTCTGTAAACTTACATGTAACAAATGACTCATTTGTCTTTTTTCCAAACTGAGGCCCCTTTCCTTCGTTTTCATCTGTAAATACTGAACAAAAATATTCATTGAGGCAGTCAGCTAGACATTTATCCTCTTCTACATACCTCCCTTCTTTTGTTTTTAATCTAACTAATCCTTGTTTTACTTTCCTTTTCTCATTTATGTATCTAAAAAATATTTTGTCCCCCTTTTTCTACTGACTGTGCTATTTTCTCTTCTGTGTGTGATTTGGAAGCTCTTATAACTTACTTAGCCTCTTTCTGCCTAATCTTATAGATCATTCTGTCTTCCTCACTCTGTTTTTTTTTAATATAATTACTAAATGCTAACTTTTTGTTTTTTACTATTTTGGCCACTTCTACAGAGTACCACAGTGGTTTCTTGAATTGTTTGCTTTTACTGACAAGCCTAATGCAATTTTCTGTTGCCTTAAGCAGTGCAACTTTTAACCCCTTAAGGACACATGACATGTGTAACATGTCATGATTCCCTTTTATTCCAGAAGTTTGGTCCTTAAGGGGTTAAATAATCCCATTTCTCTTGGACTCCATTTAAATTGCTCCAGTCTGATAATGACTCCTTTACACATATTCTAATTTTAGAAAAGTCTGTTTTTCTAAAGTGTAAAAAATATTTTTTGTGTGGTGTGACTCAGTCACTTTTCTTATATTAAACCACACTGACTGAAGATCCAAAACTGGATCCAAAACTTTCACCTACAGTAATATCTGATACCAAATCTCCATTTGTTAACACTAAATCTAATATGGCCTCCTTACGAGTTGGCTCCTCAACGACTTGTTTTAGAGGCAATCCCAGTAGGGAGTTTAGAATATATTTGCTCCTGGCACAAGCAGCTATTTTGGTTTTTCAATTCACACCAAGAAGACTAAAGTCACCCATGATGATAACTTGCAGGATATCCCTCTGGTTTTGGTACACAGTAGAATGATAGTAAAGCACAACTGGATTACTATGAGGTAGATCATATGGAATGACAAAAAAGCAGCCAATGTTGCTCTCTATATAGATAGGTACGTATCAATAAGGAAAATAAAAATACACTTACACTAACATGAGAAGACTAACCGATCTATGTATCAAGCCTGGGTGGTATAATCCCCACCAAGGATTTCTTTAGTTGGTTGTCCACAGTAGGTAAAGTATTTGGCTAAAAGGCAGGTAGTGAGGTAGCCAAAATACTTTATTTAACAACAGCATAAAAACCACAACACGTTTCTCCCCTTAAGGCTTTCTCACCACTTGAGACTGTGCCGTACCATTTGGTATTTTTTATTCTTTCATGTTTTATTGTGGACCCTTTATATCCTGTGTGATTTTTATTGCTCCTATTGCTTTTATTATTATATACTATTGTGTTTGGAGTATTTTTATTGGCACTACCTGTATATTGTTGTTTGACCTTGTTCTACTTTCTTGGGGGTTAGAGGGATTCCCATATTATCAGGTTTGCTGCCTCCAATCCTAGTGTTCTTAGTTTGTTTAGCACAACTCTATTCCTTGTTAAGTAGAAGGCATACTTTGCTAATTTTCTATTTTTTATTTATTTAGATCGATCAGGTTCTAGTTCACCAACAAGTGGAACTGTTGGAAGGTATGCATGTTTTTCTTTTCTACCTACTCAGGGCTGGATTCCCAGAGTAGGCTCCTGCCTACAGGCACATGTCCTCTAGGAGGTGTCTGTTTTCATCCATTATAGTGCACTTTTTTGGAGATTTATTGAGCTGTTATGTAGATAAGGGTTGAACAATAAGTACCATTATCTTTGCTCGGTGTCTTCTGTATCCTCCTATACTTGATAGGTTTTAGAGGGGGTAAAACTCAGTTTTGTCCAAGCTCCTTATACAGGAAGTGCCTTTCAAGAGTAGGAGTGAGTGCATTGAGTGATACACACTGTATAACAGCTACTGCAGTTCCACAATCAATTATACAAGTACAAAAGACATAGGAGGATTCAGTACTTTGCAAATAATCCTTTGAACTTCACCCAGAAATTAGGACCGTCCCGCTTAATCTGAGGTTGTTTTTTTGGCCATCTAATGCATTTAAAGAATTCTGGGAGTTGTAGGTCATTTACATTAAGGAGGGGGAGAGGGTATAGAGGTTCCTACTGTCAGTGTATAATCTTTGTAAAAAAAATAAATTATTTTATGTGAATGTCTATGCCCCTAGTCAACAAGACTTGCTTGTTGTATGGTAAGTGGTAGTAGCCACTAAGTGAACACCTATTAATTTGTATCTTAATATGAATGGATCCTCCACCAGATTTGAATCTTAAGTTGTGTGTAGAGCATATCAAATATTACTTACTAGTGTGTACAAATCTTGTTTTATTTTTTCTCTATTCTCTTCTCATTTCCAGCCATATTTGGGATTGAAATTAATAATAAATATGAAGTAAAAAACTCTTTGGGTCAGAGAGTGTACTTTGCTGCAGAACAAAGCGATTGCTGCTCCCGTATGTTCTGTGGACCTTCCCGCCCCTTTGTCATAACTATTGTTGACAATATAGGTCGTGAAGTCATAAAATTACTCAGACCATTAAGATGTTCCTACTGTTTTATACCTTGTTTCCTGCAGAAAGTAAGTACCGTATGTACTTTGCAATTTACTAAAATTCATACATTATGTACACAAACTTTTGTTTTTCATCGCAATATGAAATTTAGGGCTTAAAGTCCAACTTATAGGAACTATCCAAGCACCATATCCATGCTTGTTGTAGTGGTTATGGTGCCAGGAGTGCCATGGCACCCTCTCAGAGCAAGTAATCAAACTATTTAAGAACCGTTTGAAAAGTTCTGCTGTGCGCATGCTGCTGCCTCCCTGGTGTTGGAAGCTCCTTGTGGGGATTTAGGAATATAGAAGACTAATAATTAACCTGTCCACCCACCAATGTTAGATTTACACCTCCACCCAATGCCCATGGGTAGGGGCACAGGGAAGACTACAATAATTGACACACCCCATCCCCATGAGTTAGGGCCACTGCTAGCTGCACAGTCCCTTGATTTAATAACAGTGAGCAGCAGCTAGCTGTTCACTGTTTACTAGACATGCTCCCACACATGAGAAAGGGCATAAGGTAGGCATCCAACCTCCCTTAAAGTAATATGAAGGTCATATTGACTCCCATCGGCCTTTTATTTATTTTCTTATTTACATTTTAATGTGATGGCTTGCCTTCAAGCACTGGTGAGTTGCTACGTGGTTAACCTGATGCTGCCTAGATTTTTTTTTTTTTAACTATTTGTCCACTAGTGCCACATAGCACATAATTTGTAATTTAAAGGGACTCTAGAGACACCAGAACAACTACAGCTTATTATATTTGTTCTGGTGAGTAGAATTTAGGCGTTTTGTAGAGAAAAGGCAGTGTTTACATTACAGCCTTGGTATACCTCCACTGGCCACTCCTTATATGGCTACTGAAAATGCTTCCTGGGGCAGTGCTGCATATGGTGCGCGAGCGGCATCAAAACTGTTCAGCTTGGCAGGAGAGTAGCAGCTTCCAACTCTGGCATCCTTCCGGGATAAGTTAATCGTTCTTCGTTTTTACTTTTCAGCCAGAACCAATATGACAGGAGGACCTGGGCGGTAAAGTCTCACCAACTAATGTACACCAATGCTAAACTCGTGGTCTCTTGGAAACAAGTACCACAATACGTTAATGTAAGGGTTCCTTTTGGGGGAGAGGGTTTTAAACACAGTGTTACACTATGTGCATCTCATTGTATTTTTTTTAAGGTACGGTGAACACTGTTGCAAGCTGTGCATTCAAAGATTGTAGATCCAACCTGTGTGGCAATATCACCCCCCTACAAACTACCTAAGGACTCTTGGACATTACAGTATATGATTTTTTTTTTTTTTTTGAAGCAGTATGTGCTGTGACATCTATGTTGCTAATTTGTTTGAAGTAATTTATTTGTTACTAATTTTATAGGTGCATACATTGCTATTCTGCTTCATAGATTACATGTGGATTACATGGATTTTGCAATTAGGGTTTTTCACCATAGCGCTGATACTTTATTTTAAAGAAAAACATATACCATGTTTTATTCAGCCATCCAGGTTCTCAATATTTGACAAAGTAATAGAGAATATGTCATTTTTGGCCACTGAACAAAATGTTATAGCAACTTATGAACAATATTTATTCACCGATTGGTATTAATAAAGGTTTAAGAGAAAAAAAAAACATGAACATGTATTTACAAAAGTATTTATTCTCTACTTTGATTTTCTTTTACTACAGCTTGAAGTGCAGGCACCACCAGGAGTCACAATTGGTTACGTCAAACAAAATTGGGATGCTTGTCTGCCAAAATTTTCTATCCTAAATGAGAGAGAAGAAGAGGTCTTAAAAATCACTGGACCATGTATGCCCTGTAGATGTTGTTCAGATGTTAATTTTGAGGTAATAGTAAATTAATCTGAATAATGTTATTTAGAATGTTACTAATCTACTCTACTTTATACACTCAAAAAAGTAAATTTCTGCATATGCTACTATTACATATTTAAGTGCTGTCTAAATGTATTGTTTCCTATGTGAAATTGGCCCACGTAAAAGTGCATGCTTGCTTTTGCAATTATATCTTTGTGTATTACTTTTTTGTAATTAGATGCTAACTGAATGAATGACAACCTTTTTACATGAGTTGAAATCACTTATTAATATTGAGGGTTCAGCACAATGTGCTTGTTATCAAAAAATTCCTACTCTGTGCACATTGTGATTTTAGAAGAGAGAAGAAGAAACACCTCTGCATGACTTCCAACCTGTCTGTCAGTGCCGCTCCCTGCATTTTTCTTTCTGATCATGATAGTAGACATGTGCAATTAGTTTTGAATGCTTTCTAATGTCCGAAGTGCCGATCCAAACTGAATTACATTAGTCCGAATTGCCGAAGTGCTTCGGATTTCTGAAAAGTGGCAAAACAAGAGAGAAGGAGGGAAAATTACATGAATGATGACAGGAATCTTGAGCAATAAGCTAATTCCTGGCACTGGGAGCCTTACAGATGTGAAAGTGGTAGTGGTGGCAGTCCTGGCACTGGGAGCCCTACAGATGTGTAAGTGGTTGTGGTAGCAATCTGCCCATTATGGGCCGGGGGCTCGCAGTGCCAGGACTGCAACCACAACCACTTACACATCTGTAGAGCTCTGTCAGGGTTACAGTATGATCCAGCACGTAGAATTGTGTAACACAGAGGACTGATGGGTAACGTATACCGGACCTTAGAAAGGCCGGAATAACGTACCAAAGAATAGTCCGGAATAGCCGAGGTCAAGGGATATAGAAAGAGACACAACGATAAGGAAAAGCCAGGGGTTAGGGATGCCAGAAAACAGGAAAGTCAAAATCAAAGCCTGTAACGGACCGTTTCAGCACACAAGGGGTTAAAACAGTTTATGCGATCGTCCACTTTCCAGAGATGCCGGCACAGCTACTGTAGAACACCAAACTCCCGAACCTCATGTAAGGGAATGCTCCAAACTCCCGAACGGCATACAATATAGCACTCCAAACTCACGAACTGGAACCATACGAATAGCTGCTAGCAGATGAATAGGAAAAGCACCCAAGCGGCTTACACTCCTAGCAATCAGTCTCTATCAGCCTTCAGTAAATCCCCCCCAAAGACGAGACAAGGCTCTGTGTTGAGGGTCAAGCAGTGGTCTGTTTAATGAGGGCTACCTGCCCAGTATTTATGCAGGTCTTCCACCTGGTGGACACTCCCCTAGGGGACCAAATGGGAAACTGTGACAAAAGACAGACAATCAGCAAAATAGGACACACAGTCACATTATATTCCCACAATGCATCCTGGCTTCCTCCCCTCTGCCCTGGAGATAATTGAGAAGTAATTCAATTATCTCCCAGGACAAAGGCAAATCGCCATTATGCACGTGGTGATACCAATACATGAATTACTATTAAAATACACTATATGCCACAAGTTACAATAAAACTATACATTTAACATATCACCAGATAGCTCAGGTCCGAGCACACATTATTAAGCGAATGGCGCTCAGACCACACGAATACAGTTTAATCACCATGGAGCCAAAGTCTTCACAAAGTCAGTTCTCATACGAATGAGCTCCATGGGATTCCTATCTGGGGTTTAGTGCAGTCAGGTACAACTACCGAATGCCGGGCCGTTCGTGTACTTCCACCGAAGAAGAAGGGAGGTCGGCGGCTTCAGCGGTGTTCGCGCCAAACTGTGTCCGTTTTTAGTTTCATGGATTAAGCTTCGAACACCGCTGTGTGTTCGCGTGTTTAAAATGGCCGCGACCTCGTGTTCGGTATACGAATGGCGGCCACCCAGTATTCGTCAATTAAGCTGCGGTTAACCGCAGCTTCTGGGAGGCTAATTGCCGGCACAGTCCAGTTCCCAGGGGGTCTAGTCATTCGTGCGATTGTTCGGTAGATTGAATCTACCAAACACCGGGCACAAAAGCACAAATAAGTCTTTTCTGCAGGGGGAAAGAGGTCGTTTAATATGGGGCCATAATCCAAAGGCAGCAGACGAGCAACCAGGCTTCTCCAATGCAATGTGGCGAGATTGCTCTCGTCACAATGCCAAAGTGAAATAACCAGAAAAAACAGAATCAATAACGCGCTCTCAGACCCCAAAGGCAGTTACCAGGTTCCTTTTTGCATAATTGTTGCTCAGCACAAACCCCCCTGTGGATTGATTGCTGCTTGGCACAACTTTTCCTGTCAGGACAGTAAATGCCATTAATCACATTTTTATGTGCGGAATACGTGACAAACTCCCAGTGCTAGCATTGCCGCCACAACGACTTACACATCTATAGGAATCCCATGCCTGGACTGCCACCAGAACCACTTACACATCTATAGGGCTCCCAGTGCCAGGATTTCCACCACAACCACTTATACATTTGAAGGGCTCCCAGTCCCCGGACTGCCACAACAACCAATTACACATTGATAGGGCTCCCAGTGCCCGGAGTACACCACAACCACTTACCAGACATTCGGTTGCTTACGAATGTCCATAGTTCCGAATTGCCAAAGTTTGGTAGTTCGAAAGTGCCGAACCGAGCCAAATGCCATTGGTCCAAATTGCCGAAGCAGACACATTTTTTTACTTACCCGAATTTCCGAACCTTATTTTTTGCCCATGTACATCCCTACATGAGAGTTGGAAACACCTGCAAATAGCTCCTGTTAGCTCTCCTGAGCTAAACCGCACAGCCAACTCTGACTAATCACTATAAACCAATGAGCTAAGCCCTACACCACTGGTTTGCTGTCATTCAGGCAGAAAGCAGTACGCAGCAGACCCCAGGTAAGAAGTCAAAGCACTGACTATAGTAGTTTTGGTGATTGGAGTGTTCATTTAATTTTATATTTCAGACCTCAGAAAAACATATTTACTAAATATAAGGGGTTAAGTAAACAGAATATTAAACATCTGGGGAAGTGGCAGTTTTCCTTTAACCCCTTAAGGACCAAACTTTTGGAATAAAAGGGAATTATGACATGTCACACGTCATGTGTCCTTAAGGGGTTAAACATGTCTGTTAGAGTACCTTTTAAAGGGACACTATAGTGCCAGGAATAAAAAATGTATTCTTGGTACCATAGCTTCCTCTGCCTCCCCGTCCCTTACACCCCCTCCTCCCCGGTGAATAAAGGGTTCTGGCTCTGCCCCTTCCAACGGCCCGCAATGAGTTGGCGCTAATGCGCAGCAAATGCCGCGTGCGTTATACCTCACCATACCAAAGCACTAAATCAATGCTTTCCTATGGGGAAAAGAATCTGACGCTGGATGTCCTCACGCAGAGGTCCGTTTTGATTCAGGAAGCCCTCTGGTGGCTATCTGGTAGACAGCCACTGTGGGCAGTCTTAGAGCTGCAATGTAAACATTGCAGTTTTTCTGGAACTGCAATGTTTAACATTGCAGCTCTAAGTGCAATATATACACTGCACCTAGACCACTTTAATCAGCTTCAGTGTCCCGTTAATGAATAGGGCAGTGTATGCACTAGTTTGTAACTGCACGTTAGCATCAAGTACCATCTATATTATATATGAAGTGATTACTGCAATACAAAAATACACAACACACTGATGTCTGTATTAATATAGAAGTGATATATTTATTATCTGTGAAAGAATGCATATAAATGATAAAATGTTATATTCAGTGTAATCTGCAACACTTTCCAAAGGACATATACAACATGCAAGTGGATAGTGACATGAAATTTTGCCAATGTATTATGGCTTACATTGCCAGTGCATACCACCCAGTGCTATGCCTGCACTTAATTTGTGTTTTTCATGATATTAGTTAACTCCTGGCTGTCCATCATAGGTCATAAAATCATTAGCGTGATCCTTGGCACTGGATAAGATGGTCATTTTTCTTAACATATGTGTATATATATATATATATATATATATATATATATATATATATATAATATACACAGTCAGGTCCATAAATACTGGGACATCGACACAATTCTAATCTTTTTGGATCTAAACACCAACACAATGGGTTTGAAATGAAACAAACAAGATGTGCTTTAACTGCAGACTTTCAGCTTTAATTTGAGGGTATTTACATCCAAATCAGGTGAACGGAACGGAATGTGAATGTGTTGTGTAGGAATTACAAAAGTTTGTATATGTGCCTCCCGTAACTTTATGGTTACGTTCGGATATTACAATGCTTACACAGGCTATCTGTTTGTATATACAGTCATTAGTTTACACGGCCATTTCGGTTATATTATGCTCCATGTATTTAGCCCTGCTCGGGCTTTCATATACTCCCGAATGGGAACCATACTGACAATTTCAATTGTGCAGTCATCTCCGTTCGTGCATTTCAATCACACGAACGGAATACATATGTTTCTGTTTGTCTGCACAGCCCGGTACGTAGTTCCGAACGGTCATATTTTTCATTTTACATATCTTACTACTTGGTGGCCCCTCTTTATTTACAGGCCTACCGTATCGTTGGTCTCGGCACACCACAACAGACTTTGCTCTTTTATACTATCCAATGCTCATATTGGAACCTTACTCCATATACGGCTATTTGCCCTTAACACAAACATATATATATATATGTTATACATCATGAATGCAGAATTTGTTTTGGGATGGCAGGATCTTTGACATGATCATACCGTGCATGATGTACATAACATTTTGTAATGTCCTGCAACGTGTCACTGCTTGCCTTTCTTCCATGTCCTGCAACGTGTCACTGCTTGCCTTTCTTCCTTGTCTTTCCTCCTCCTAATACTGATCCTCCTCTTTCTTTCCCTTCAAGTTTGTGGTACTCACATCAGTCCATCCTTGCAAGCGCGCTGTCTTGGCGTCATACTTGATTCTGGCCCCACCTTTGAGCCTCACATCCAGCATGTTGCCAAATCCCGTAGATTCCATCTTAAAAACATAGCCCGCATCCGCCCCTTTCTTGCACCAGATACTACCAAGGAGCTTGTCCATGCTCTAGTAATTTCCCGCATGGATTATTGTAACCCTCTCCTGATTGGTCTTCCCAAAAGCCAGATGTAGGCATGCAACTTTCGGTGATGACCATATTTGTTTTATAAAAGAGTATTGCTGCGTAATTCTCAGAGTTAGCTGCCTAACACTGATGTACAGTGATTCAGTTTATGAACTTTAAAGCTTTAAAGTTTTCACACCGTTCAACACCAAAGTCGGGTACCTGGGCTCCCATCTCCACTGCCTCCTCTTTTCTATTCTTAACCACCATACAGAACAGGAATTGTAGATCCGGGTACCTGTGATCAGCTGTTAAAAAAAATCAACAAAATTTACGTTGATCTATAATCCAGTACTGGAACAGACTCCTTACTGTCAGAAACGGCAATGTTCTACTTTATTAGAGAAAAGGGGCAATGTCTATGCACCAAAACCACTATATTAAGATGATGCTTTTTTTTGGTATTTAAACTATGCCTTTAATATGGTATTTTATAGTTAAATAGCCTATAAAGTGTTTTGTAGACTGATTTATTAAGATTTTGGTCCTTTAGTTGACATCACTTGATGGGACTTCTCAAGTTGGAAGGATTGCCAACCAGTGGGCCGGTCTTACAAAGGAACTTTTTACAGATGCAGACAACTTTGGAGTTCACTTTCCAATGGATCTCGATGTGAAAATAAAAGCTGTTGTGCTTGGTGCCTGTTTCCTTATTGTGAGTTGTCTTTTGAACATTTTAATATTATTGTATTGTTGTTCATGTATTTTCCATATGCTTATGTTGAATACATTTGGCATGGGAAAGAGTAAGTTGTGCGCATTATTTTTAAATTTCAGCTGTATCCTATAGTATTAACTAGCAATGCAGCATTTTGCTTTTCCATTCTGTTAGTTCTTTTGTGTTTAGATCTTCTAAAAGTGGTCAATGGTATCTGCTTATGTATGTTTAGACCATTGATTTCAGACCATTGGTATTTGTAAAGCACCAACATATAAGCTGCAATGCTCTTTAATAGAAAGAAACAAACAGATACAACACATTTGACCTACTGTATCAAAAAGTAATGAAGGCTCTGTCCAAATAAATGCATACCTTAATCTCATTAGAATATACATTCAATTAATTCTGTATGTTTTATGGCTTTACATTTAACTTAATCTTAAATTTAAATAAACTCAATCTTAAATTAAAGGAATACCCAAATCTCTTAGAATATCCATGCAATTTGATCTGTATGGTTTATGGCTTTACGTTTAGTTGTTAAAAATTACTAACGAATATGTAATAGGTCTTTTCAAACTGCAATGCTGAGTCGCTGTAACATGCAAAAATCCCAATGTCTGTATTCAGCTGTGTAAACTATGGAGGATCAGGAGGGATTATTCAATTTACAGCTCTGTGGTCTTTAAATGTGTAAAATAAATGTTTTGTTTATTTATTTCTTTTTAATGCTTTTCTTTTTCTTGCTTTCTCTACTGCAGGATTACATGTATTATGAACAAAGCAAATAATGACAAAGGTTGAAGGTTTCTTTACAGATTTCCATAACCCATATATACTGTTATGTTGAGATGTATATGAAAGGTCTACATTTTACAGATTTGGACTACAATACCTTTTTTTTATTATTTTGTTTTTCTAGAAGTATTATTTTTAACTTTTCTTTTAGCAACAAAATACATTTACTAGTCATCTAGTTCTACTACTTTCTTGCATTTTTTTTAGATGGTCTCAAAATGTTTAAATGTTTATATTTTTGGTAATTTTATCATAGTCAGGTATTAGTGATATTTATATACACAACTTAGTCTATTAAAGCGGTTCTGGCACTCCCACCCTCCAAAATGAAAGAAAAAGTATTTCATGAAGATAAAATATTTATGAAATACTTACATTGAGTAGGAATTTTACTAATTTGTCTTATGGATTTTTCCTACAATTAACAAAAAGTCAGAACTACAGTAGTCAAGCCCCCAGCCATAACTAGTGACTACTGTGGGGAAAAGGCTCTGTATATTTGCACTCCCACGGGAAGCTGAAGAGGATCTTACAGGGAAGAAGATGGTATCGACCACTAGGTAAAACTACAGGTAAGTAAAACCTACATTTCACTGAATACCTTGGCCACTGCACAGCAAGCGGCAATGTCGCGAAATAAGAGAGTGTTTAGAAAAATAACCAAAACTGTAACATTAATATATTCCAACTGTACTTTGTCCTACAATTTTTAAGTCGGTTTTCCACCGCAGTTGTATGGTCAGTGAATACTCCCTTTAGTGTTCATTAGAGTAAATCATTTTGCACCGAAAACAAAATGCATCTTGTAAATTGCAGCAGTGTTTTAATAACTCCTGCTTATTACCAATTGTAGGGCAGAAATATTTCTAACAATGGACTAAATTTACAGACCTTGATCTAGACATAGCTGTGAATTTAGCATTACTACTTCACTAGCATACATATGCTAACATATATATTTTACATTTACCAAACAGCTAACATTTGTACATGCTGTCCAATGTCACAGGAAAATGTAACCTGGCTGAATGTATTAAGGCAGAGGGAAATTGGTGTATTAATGCAGTTCCTGTAAAACCCTGAATTAAATAATTCCCATGTAATGTCCAAACGCATGATGAAATTAGAGCTGACTAGGAAAAAGCTGTCAAGCCTAAATAACTGGTGTGTAAGATGCCACAAATTCTTTTTTTAATGTTATCTGTGAATTGTTTTATTATATAAAAGATGGGGACAGTGTCTCTCAGGGGTTCTCCTTGTAAAGGCCCATTTTTTATTTTTTTATTTTTTTTACCTAAGTGCATTTCAGTGGCATGTACTTGACTGGTTATATGCTTCATCAACTTACCTTAACTGCCTCTTTACCTCTTTTATAATATATCTGGTACAATAGTTTGGTTTTATACAAGTTACATGTGTCATATATTTAACATTAAGCACAACTTAGAAAATGTAAATACATAACAGTCTGTATGTTTTAGTACTTTGCATGACTGCTATGTATTTCTGTTGGGGGACATTGTGACAAATATACAATTGAGACTAAAACTGCTGGAAAACATGTTTTTTTTTTCATGTTTGTAAATCTCTGCATGTTGAGCATGTCCTGTCTGTTCTATCTCTATAACTGTTTAGTGCTAAATACAAATGTAAGTCCTGTAATCAGAAGCAGATGTAACAACTGCTGAAATATTTTGAAATGTACTTAATGTTAGCTTGTTACTTTTAAGTATAACATGTTGGGAAAATAAATAACAATATCCATAAAAGTTGTGATGTGAATTTATTTCTAATCTTTTGCACAGTTTCTGTTTTAACACAATCTAGGTTTAATGAAAACCACCTTCTCAGAAGACCAAATACACTCACCCAGAGTGATAGTCAAACTAGAAAATCTTCAGTTACTTACAATTATTTATATAATGCCAACAAGAAGAGCGTCAACACAAATGATGCCAGCACATTTTGACAGACTACTCTGAGGCGGCACCGACACACTATAGGTACCATAACCACTACTGAAGTGGTTATGCTGATTGGAGTGTTCCTTTATTTCTAATAATGTGTCAAAAACAGACTTTTATAAAGTCAGAAGTTTTATAGTATTGTTAAGTATGGTTTCAAAGACCTGGCACTACAAAAGCTTCTTATAAATACATCCTAACAAAAACTAAACACCTAGTTAAACTATATAAACTCAAACAGTGAAAATAGAATATGTGTTAAATACTTGCACTGTGGTGTCTTATCTGTCCCTCCCATGCTAGCTAACTATAACCTTAGCTAACCACAAACATAAATTTATCTAACACTAACCCTAACCAAACACTGTTAAGTCGATTGGGTACCAGGCTCAGTGATCACAGTAAGATCCTGGTGATGCCATCATTGGCTCCCAGTGTGATCACTCAGCTTGTGGGCTAATACGGTAGTACTGCTGGTCAGCTTCATTGAGAAGCAATCCAGCAGTAGCCTGGTACAGGCTGATTATGACTTATAAAGGGCACAAATCCAGCCTGAAAATGGATTTGTCCTACTTTCCAGATTAATATCTATGTTGGAGCTCACCTGTTGGGTGATGTTTTTTACTTCATTCAGATAGTTTCCCTTTGACTAAGTATCAATTTATCAGAGTTTTTCACTGTTTATTCCAATAGTTGGATTTAAGTCCTAAGGATTTTTCTCCCTGGTTGTTCAGAAGACCCTCAGTTTGTTCTGAAAATGTGGAGCATGTTATAAAGTGCTACAATAACTCTGGGTCAATATATCCTGCCTCACTTCTTTATTCTCATGTGGATTTCTACAAAACATACACAGAATAAACACGCATTTGATTGTTATTGTTGTCAGAGCTGGCACTACTGTAACAATTAGAAAAGCTTAGAGCCCACAGCAAAAATTAGGCAGATGATACCAAGTATAAGGTGCAAGTTAGGTGTAGCCACCCCCAGTGGTTACAGTAGCATATAGCAGTATACAAAAAGAAAAATCCCACTTCATATCAATCCAATATTTAAAAATCAGAGTACAAAAACAAAGTGCTTAAATATCAATACAATTATTGCATCACTGTAGTGAACATACACCAAATTGTGTAAAATAATAAAACTGCATGTAATGTTACCTTATGAAGATGACAGAGCCAGCACCAGATTTTTTGGCTATAAAACTTTTATCAAGTATGAGTATCCTCCATTAAACATTTTATAATAGCCCCTAGTCAGTGCTAATGTCGGTAAGCCCACCCCCGATATTCCCAAAATTCACTCCTTGTTGCTAAGCAACCCTAAAACAAACGGCAACCAGATCTGATTGGTACGTCGCCAAAATACTGCTGAGTACACCTCACCATTTGAAAATCCCCATGTCCCTAGTCACCTACCCAATAAAAACACCCTACAATATTGAGAGCACCAAAAAAGGACAAATGTAAATTCATAAGGTTAAGTGAAACTATTAAAATAAGTCACCCCTCACTTTAATGGGTGGAGGTGGAGGCTGGGGACACTATAGGCACCCAGACCACTTCAGCTCATGCACCTTAACCCTTTCTGAGAAATTGCAATAATTACCTCTCAGGATTAACTCCACCTCTCGTGGCTGTCTACGAGGGAGGAGAGCACTGTAGGAACTTATTGTGCCAGGAAAACGGCTTTGTTTTCCTGCCACTATAGAATACCTATAAGAGCCACAGGTTGGGGATGGATGGAGACACCAAGTCTACTCTGTTTAGTTTAATAGCCCCTATTTACAGGGCATATGGTACACTATGTTCCCTCCATTTAATGATTTAAATAGTTCCCTCTTAATGAAGGCTTGCCGGACATTTGCCAGGTCCCCCTTAATTGGATTAGTGATTAGTTGCTAGTCTTTTTTTCTAACAGTGAGCAGCCAGTGGCTGCACACTGTTTAGTAGACATGCTCCAACTTGCAACATGGCAGTTAGGGACAGGAAGGAGGATTTTACCTCCCTCATTTACTAATAATAAGTATTTTATACTTTGATTTAGTATAGTTGGTTTAGAGACCAAATTTCCGAAAAGCCCTTTGTTTTTGTAATTTTGTTCTTTCGTCATCTTAGTAGATAGCTCCCTGATCCTTGTTGGAATGCCTATAATACTAAACCTTTAACCCCTTAGTGACCAGACAGTTTTTTTCAATTTTCTAACCGTTACAGACCAGGGCTCTTTTTACATTTCTGCGGTGTTTGTGTTTAGCTGTAATTTCCTTCTTACTCATTTAATATACCCACACATATTATATACCGTTTTTCTCACCATTAAAGGGTCTTTCTAAAGATACCATTATTTTCATAATATCATAATTTACTATAAAAAAAATGATTAAAAAATAAAATTTGACCCCCAAAATCTGTTACCAATCTACAACCGCCAAAAAACACCCATGCTAAATAGTTTCTAAATTTTGTCCTTAGTTTAGAAATACCCAATGTTAACATGTTCTTAGCTTTTTTAGGAAAGTTATAGGGCCATAAGTACAAGTAGCACTTTGCTATTTCCAAACCATTTTTTTTTTTTCAAAATGAACGTGCTACATTGTAACACTGATATCTGTCAGGAATCCCTGAATAACCCTTATGTATATATTTAGGTATTAACCCCTTCAGGACGTGTATTTGGACCGCTGACGGTCCTGAACCGTCATAGCAAAAATGGGCTGCGGGAAGCAAGTAAAGATTGCTTCCGCCGGTATAATGCTGTAACTATCTGCCAGACATCCCAGGCAGATAGTAACAGCCAATTGCGCCGTGTGAGCGATCCAAGATCGCTCACAATTGGCTGCTGTCAAAGTGGGTGTTACAAACACTCACTTTGACAGTGATCTCTGCCCCTCTCTCCTCTGTAGCGTTTTGTGAGGCGAGAGAAACAGAGATCGTGATAGTTTGTTGCAGCAGTGTTCAGTGACCATCAGAAATTCTCAGTATTTTATTTTAAAAAAAATCACCTTTTAACCCCTTCCCTGCCAGATCTGTTACAGCAGTGCATTTGTACTCTCTGTATTTTTTTTTATTTTGCCCTTAAAGGGTTAAATTTGTTTTAAAAATCTGTGTCTTGGTCTGTCTTAGTCAGTCAGTGTCCTTCCCCCAAATCTCCATTAGATTTTTGTGACAGGAGTTAGTTTAGAAAATTACTGTTTAGTCTGTTTTAGTAAAAAAAAGAAAAGAAAAAAAAGTATAAAAAAAAAATGTGTGTTTGTAATTTGTTTTAGTCGTGTGTAAAACATGCAGCGTATGTATAACTTGCAGGAGGCATATGCCTTCTTGGCATCAGACTCTGACGCCACTGACACTGCGTCAGATTTTGACCCAGGTCAGTTTTCTGACACGTCTAGTCAAGACGACGTCATCTGTGTGTGAGCCGGCTGAAGAAAGAAGCTGTGCTTCCTCTGCTACGCCGAATGTGGAGGAGGACTGGGTACCTGTACAGTTAGCCAAGCCCAACGTCCCCCCTTTTAGTGCCAACGCAGGCATTAATGTTAATGTGGATGGCTTCTCCCCAATGCAGTATGTAGAACTATTTTTAGGGGATACGATCTGGGAGGAGATTGCTTCCCAGACTAACTTGTATGCTACCCAATTTATTGATATCAATCCAGGTAGCTATACAGTCAGGGAGCATGACTGGCATTCCACAGATGTCCCAGAGCTTAATAAATTCTGGGCTCTTACAATGCTCATGGGGATTATAAAGAAGCCATCAATTCGCTCATACTGGAGCACCAACCCAATAATGTCTAGTCCAGTATTCTCCCAAACCATGCCTAGAGCCAGGTACGAGTTACCGCTGAGATTTTTACATTTTAGTGACAATATCCTCTGTCACCCTAGAGATCACCCCCATACGATAGGCTTCATAAAATACGCCTACTGCTAGACCATTTTCAGGACAAATTTTCGGATTTTTATACCCCCCAACAAAAGGTATCCATAGAAGAGTCGCTAATGAAATACAAAGGGAGATTAGGTTTCAGACAATACATCCCCTCAAAGCGCTCTAGGTATGGCATAAAACTGTACAAACTGTACGAGAGCGAAAGGGGACACACATTTGTCTTTCATAAATATGAGGGGAAAGGTGGTCAACTGGACCCTCCTAGCTGTCCTGACTCCCTGGGGACAAGTGGGGAAACTTGTATGAGACCTACTAAACCCCTTGTTTAATAAAGGTTACCACCTCTATTGTCAGAATATTTATATCAACAGACATTTTGTGCTAAAAAGAAATTAAAAGTGTATCTTGCCAGAGTCACTCAGAACAAAGCAGACTCCATTTTGCTATCTTCAGGATAACAAAAACACATAATTTCCTTGATTTCTTCTTACTTTCTGTAACTAGCCACTTACTTGAACTAAGGAATGTGTTATCTAAACACAGACACTACTGACAGAGAAGACTAAGTAATTAATTTTACTTTCTAAATTTTACAAGGTTCCATTGTAAGTAAGGGGTGAAATTGAGTTTAGAACTGTCAATTTTACAAATTACGATCAAAGTAGTTGCCACAAAGACTGAGACAAACGCTTTGAACTGACAGCAAATCTAAGTTATGGTAGTCATTTTAGATAAGCCAAATGACGTCAAAATCGTCATCAGGAAAAGTTAACTCTTTCCTGGATAGGAAGGTTTCGTTAGACGAGACTGCCCTCTATGGATCAAATACCTAATTGCGATCCATCGATTGAATCCACCTACGGCTTCCTATTAGTTTATCAACT